TTCTCAAGCACAACTCTCTCTTCTACCTCATGTTACCATGCATAGAATGGCTCGGAGCCTTCTGCCTTCACTATTTCAACATTCCTAGGAATCCCAATAGTGTGTCTGATTCCAACAGGAAACATGTGGCAAGGGAAAATGGATATTAGCTAAATTGTCACTATCATGTATCAAACACTGTACACTTGAGGTTGGTGGATATGAGAAGTAGCTGGAGTGAAGGGCACTGGCAGAGGAAGAGGAGTGCAGGGGGAGCGCACTACTCCCGGCAGCACGATCCCCAGGGTGCCATCACGGCAGCACACCATGCTCGCAGGACGTGCGCCACGCCCATGCAGGTGGCGTGCCACACCCCCAGGACACTTGCCAGCCCCACCCCCGCCTGCTCTCCGCCCCCGGTGCTGGAGCATGAAGCTTCGCCACTGGTGAAGGGTTAAATATTTTGGATTATTTTAATGTTTTTGTTTTTTAAAAAACAACACAGGCTATTTTGTGAGTGTGTATATGGCATCTAATGGGGGGAAATGGTTTCGCGGGTCTTTAAGGGACATAGGAGAATACACAAGAAAGATGGATTCAACAAAAATGGCCGCATCCCTCCTTTTGCAAGCAAAATGCAAGAAAGCGCCCCTCAGAGAGGCAAACTCTGAATGCAACCCTTTGTACTTCAGAGGTGGCACTGTTCCTACATTGATTGTTTTCAGAGTTCTAGCCAGTAGGTATGTGGACATTTTGACGGGTGGGTGTGCGACACCCTAACTACAAAACTCTCTGCATTGGGAAATGTGGTTGTCTCTCTGTTTCCATGCTATTAGAATTTACTCATTTATTTATTTCATAAAATTTATGTCGCTTGATTGTAGGAGAAAACTCAAAAGTGTTGTTTGTTCATTTGTTTGTTTTAAAAAAGGATATAACAATAAAATTCTAATTTAAAAATTTACAGCTACAATTCAAAACATATAGGAAGTCAAAACGCCAGTGGAATATACTGAAGCAATTTAAAGCTCATACGAACTTTCTAAACATCTGAGTAGGTTTGCTTAAATAAGAATGTCTTCAGCAGGTGCCAAAGTAGTAGTAGCAGCAGTAATAGTTGTAGCAGTGTACATTAATTTATGAATCACCTTTCAAAAGCTGATTTACAAACATATAAACATACCCCCAGCTAAGAATAGTTTTAAAGGCACTGCAAACCACAACTGAATCGAAGTTCTAAGCAAACACCTAAGGCAGATACTTCTCTAACCAGCAAGAAAAGCATCTCAAAACAAAAATGCCTTCACTTTTTACCTGCCATTATTTTAGCTGGTGTGTTGCTGGACCTCAGTTAAAAAGAGCACAGGGGGAGAGGTTTTTCTCACATTTTCAATGTTGGTATATGGTTGGTCTTGCCTTACTTGTCTGGAATCTGTATAGCGAGGAACCTGATCAAAATTGGCTCTAAGGCTTTCTGGGTAGGGGCTGAAACCAAAAAGAGAAAACTCTTGCAGTTGATGAGTTGACCCTTGGGTGGCTAAGGGTATGGACATGTGTAGTATTGTCGGAAAGAATTATTTCATATATTAATATTGTGCAGTTTGAAGCCACTGGATGCACGAAAAATGAGCCCTTTTGGCATTGTCCAAACCCATTAGTTATTATTCAAACTTTCACTTGCAGAACTTTCCTCAAAAACACAACAAAAGCAACAAAGATACATTTTTTAAAATCCACACAATGTCTTGTGTGCCCCCACACAGGCTCAGCATCTTAGAGCTAAAATAACCTAATAATCAGAGATGGAAGACAGGAGTGCCTGGCGTGCTCTGGTCCATGGGGTCATGAAGAGTCAGACACGACTAAACAACTAAACAACAACAACAACAAATCAGAGATGAGAAGAGTAGCTCTCTCACACACAGGCTTCATCAGCCTGCATTACCAACAGAGCTTTATTTACTTGATTTTCTTACTCAAATGAGTTTGTTTGTTTGTTTGTTTGGGGGGAGCCACCGCCCTTCCAATGTGGAGCATTTGCAATTCAGTAGCCTCATCACATGATCAAAGGTTACATTCAGTTTAGAGAACAATCAACAGTTAATTATCAGTCTGCAAAAAGCTCAGAGAGAACTCTTCTTGTTTTTCTAAAGCTTAAATGGAATCTTCCAGTTAAGCCCCTTTTCACCAGTACACAGGCATTCCTATTTCAGTGTGAATTAAACCAATTATACTTAAGAGTTTGGTGTAGTTCACCCATTGTCTGAGACAGTATATCCTAGGATGACAGTGATTTCGATTACCTTTCCAAGTTAAGCACTTTATTGCTACAATTCTCAACTGGGCTTTTTGTTTTTTTTTAAAGAGTACCAATTGTGATTCAGAAAGTTTTTGATATAAACCTATCTCAAGCCAAATTCAGGAAATAAAATACTTTTCATCTAACTGGTACTCTGCTATCCACTGTACACTTAAGGCCCCCTTAATGAATCCTCTAAAAAGATTTATATTTATGTGAATACCTGGGTGTAGGGAACCCTCTTCTTCAGAACTCAAAATTAAAATGGTACTATTATATAAAAATAAAAAAACCCTTAGGCTTCCAAGCTGTGCTTTGTGTGCAAATAGACTTGAGTTAAGGTTCAATTTCAGAAGAAAAGATGGCACAATATTTGCAACAAAAAGAATAAAATACTTTTTTATATAGAGGTAGTTTGGGGAAAATTTCTAATGAATTCTATCCAACCATAAAATCATGTAGAAAATGAATCCTATCTGACAATGAAATAAAACTGAAACAAATTATAAGACTCCTATATTCGGAGAACAAATTAATTTCATGTTTGGAATACTAATTGTACACTGTATGGCCTATAACTATTTATTGTGCCTGCTTAGACTGTCACCAAAGATGGTTCTAAAAAAATATAATGAGCAACTTGTTCCTGTCTATAACACCAAAGGAGAACAGAGCAGAGGCTCATGGGATGTTAGAGAAACATAATGTGTACCATATAATTCACTCTCACTGGACACTGCATGTTGCCAGAGTTTTGAAAGTTGTTCCAGTTGTCATATGAGGCATGAACTAAGAGGAAAATGAATTTTAATGGAAGTGATAATAGGCCTGTTGTGAATTTAATTTGACACTTTTTTTTGGTGCAGTTCACTGGAAAAGCAGCAATAGCAAAATGGAGAGAGGGAGGGTTCTATGACACTGTACCCTAACTTTCCTAGAAATGTTTGAACCTGGTCTTTAGGGAAATTAACTTATATGATGTGAGATCAACTCTTGTTCAGTATAGCTTCAATATGCATTCTCAAAGTCTGCCTGGATGGGTGCTAGATAAAGAGAGATCAAATTCAAAGGCAAAAACACAGAGAGAAAAGTATGCTTGCTGCTACAGAAAGCTTGCAAGCACAATACTTAAGTTGTGTTTAAGCAGATGTTTATATGAATTAGTTGATGGAAACCCCTCCATCACTTTGGGTGAGTTCCAATGCAGCCTGGGTAGGTATCTACTCAAATAGCAAGGCTTTTCCTTCATATCCTCCTTTCTATAGCCTACTACCACCCCTGCATTCAGGCACCCCAAATATCTGTGCTGGAGAGGGATCTCCTGAGCAGATTTTGTAAGCAAGGGTATCAAAGAAAAAAGTGGAAATACTGTTGTGCAAGTGGATTTCAATCATACAAGAGGGTGAACATTGTTGGATGTCATCTTTTGACAACAGATTGCATAACTGTACTCTTTTCACGGTCAGAAAATAATTCCTTTCAATTCTGTGCTTAAAAGCAGAGGTAGCCAATGCAATGACCTCCAGGTGTTGGTCAACTCCAAATTATATCAACTTCAGCCAATCTGGCCAATGGTCAGGGTTGATGGAAATATTTAGAAGACATTACATTGGGATGCGGGTGGCGCTGTGGGTTAAACCACAGAGCCTAGGATTTGCTGATCAGAAGGTAGGCGGTTTGAATCCCTGCGACGGGGTGAGCTCCTGTTGCTCGGTCCCTGCTCCTGCCAACCTAGCAGTTTGAAAGCACGTCAAAGTGCAAGTAGATAAATAGGTACCACTCCGGCGGGAAGGTAAACAGCATTTCCGTGCACTGCTCTGGTTTGCCAGAAGCAGCTTAGTCATGCTGGCCACATGACCCGGAAGTTGTACGCCAGCTCCCTCGGCCCATAAAGCGAGATGAGCGCCGCAACCCCAGAGTCGGTCACGACTGGACCTAATGGTCAGGGGTCCCTTTACCTTTACATTGGCTACCTTTGATCAAAAGGAATAGGTTTAGAGAAAGTCAAAGAGAAGGACCCTCATTCCTGTCCTCTGACTGCTGCTGGAAATGATGCCAGTGGAGGCTACCATCTTTTTTATGAGGGTCTCCATATTTTTTTTACAATAATTCTTCTGAATATGCTATGTCCTGATGCTCATTTCAAAGGCACTGTGAGGGGCCATGGCAGCCTGAAAGGATGATAATTTGCATTTCTTCTTCCACAAGTGGCGGAGGAGCAATCCATTAAAGACAGCATGCACATAGCCTTCTTTGCCACTAGTTCATCATCAATTTATTTCCATAGTTTTCCATGGTAGAAGCATGCTCAAAGCATGATGGTTAAGGTAATCCCTTTCCAGGGACAATAAAACTTAGCCTGACCCCTTAAAAAATTATATTTTCCAGCTCAACATCTTAAACACTTTGAGGGGGTAATGAGAACGTAGCTGAAAATGGCCCTAGAGTTGTCTCCTTTCAACTTCAACTTCCTGCAAAACCCTTTTCTTAGGTCCTGTGGCCCCTCACATCCTACTTGTGGCTGGACTCATTTCTTATCACCTCACAGTCCATAGTTAAACTAAGGGATTCACTACCACAACATATGGTAATGGCTATGGCTTTAAGGGGCTTAGAGAATTAATGCAGGATCAGGCTGCCATTTCATAGAATCATAAAATTGTAGAGTTGGAATAGACCAAAAGGGTCATATCATCCAACCCCCTGCAATGTAGGAATCTCTTGCTCAACGTGGGGCTCAAACCCATGACCCTCATATTAAGAGTCTCATGCTCTATTGACTGAGCTATCTGATTGCTGGGGAATAGCTGGAGGGAGCTATTGCTTCCATATTCAACTTAAGGGCTTCTCAAAGACATCTGGTTGTCTACTGTGTGAAAGGGGATGCTGAAATAGATAGGCGTTGAGTCTGATCCAACAGGGTTCTTTATTTGTTGGCTGTGAGTCCTGAAAGACCTGCTCCATGCTTTGCTCAACTGTTCGACCTGGCCTGGGAGAGCAGGACTCTGACTGATACCAGCTACAATGTATGTATGTATGTATGTATGTATGTATGTATGTATCTTGCATTGTTATCTCATTAAGAGATCAAGCTGCAGGGGCGAACTATATAATTCACACAAAGGTATGAAAAAAGCTGCCTCTCCAGTGGTGCCACAGGTGAGAGCTGAGTGCAGGGTAGGGACTGTATGTGAACAAACTACCCTAGAAGTAGCATGTCTCTCAAAACACCCCATACAATTGTAGAGTTGGAAGGCAACGTGAGAATCATCAAGTCCTACACCCTGAAATGCAAGAATATACAACTTTCCCATACACGGATTGAACCTGTAACCTTGGCATTATCAGCACCACCCTGAACTATCCATGTGCAGACTGTACAAAAATTGGACTTACCTGTTTGTTATCCCTTATTTGATGAGTAATCAGTAGTTCTGCTAGGTTATGTAGCACAATTCCATTTCCCTATGGTTCATTAGGATTGCCAAAGACTGATTGCCTTCAATCAATCAATATTTGCACTGAGTTATATAAATTTGGTGCAGACCTGTTTTCTTCTCCTCAGTAGCCTTAAATGCATCCTAGTACGTACAGTATTTTGCAGAGCAATGTAAGGCTGCATGGGGTTTTCTTAATAAGTGTTGATAGGAAGTAATGAACCTTCACAGGCAGGCATTCACCATAAGTTTGTGGTATCAGCAAGCCATTTAACGCAGCCACTTAAAATTCATCCATTTGCATTCTGGCTGACACTCAGGTTGCCTTTAAAAAAAAGAAAGAAGCAATGTTACATACATTAGTTAAGCAGCCAGACATCATGTGAGTGTTTTTGTATATTAGTCGTGTGTTTATTTCAATCAGCTTACATAGCAAGTATAACGAGGACAGGATGTTTCGTGTCTGCTTATTCAATCTGCATCTGTTGTCATAGATGCACTGAGCCAATTGAAATCTCAGCCAAGAGATAATACAGGAGATGAGAATGGGGAGCATTCTAATTATGATATTTCATGCCAACCCATCCTACCCCTGAGCTGAACCGCACTCTCTGCTCTCAGCTGGCTGAATGAGAGATCTCTAAGTTTGCAAACAATTTCATTTTTTAAAAAGACACCGTGGATCCAGATGCTGCTGTGTTATTTAAGGTTCAAAACTGCATGCACGAAATGCCTGAAATTAAATTTCAGTCTGCTAGTAATGAGACAACTGGTACTGCATAGGATGCATCTGAAATGCAGCCACTGGCTTCCTGTCTAAGGGACAGCTGAAAGTGTAGGGAGGGAGTCAATTGCAAGGGAAGGAGAGAGAGCCACCCTGATATGAGGAGCACGAGCAGGATCAGAACAAGGAAATATCTAGTCCTATACTTTTTACAGAGGCCAGGATGAAGCACTTAACCCTCCCCCAGGTGCAACTTGTCCTCTACAACTAGGAATCGATGAACACGACAATTTTTGATTCTCTCCGTTCCTCATTTTTGCCGAGCTTAAATTAAGTTCTCCATATTTCCACATCAGTTTGTGTGTGTGTGTGTGTGTTCTGAAAATTCATCAGCATCTTAATGCAAATTTCTCATAATGTTTGTTTGCAATTTTGCCTAATTATATAAATCCCGCCCCCCAAAGCAGTTTTCCCTACTATAATGCATTTTGGTATATTATCTGCACTAAACAATGCATTTATATGCATGCTGCTAGTGCCCACTATACAAGCAGATGCACAACCTGCTGGTGTCTACACATTTTTGCATGCATTATTCGGCTGGCAGTTTAAGCCGGGTAAGTGAGAATTTCAAAGGATCGCTGGTTCTGGTTTGTATCTTGTTTCGAAACGTGCAAATTAGGTAAGTTTGCCTTTCCATGCGAACTGAATTGAATTGCTCCCCTGGCCACAGCTTCTTCTGTCTACTGCTTTTCTTCAGCAGCTCTCTCTAAGCGAGGCTAAAGAGAAAAAAGCCAAGATAGGGGTTGCAAAGGAAAAACAACCGAACACCTCCCTGCTCCAGCCTCTTACTCATGCTACACCATGGGTAAGCAAACAAAGGCCCAGGGGCCGGATCCAGCCAAATCACCTTCTAAATTCAGTCCACGGATGGTCCGGGAATCAGCATGTTTTTACATGAGCAGAATGTGTCCTTTTATTTAAAATGCATCTCTGGGTTATTTGTGGGGCATAGGAATTTGTTCATTTGCCCCCTTCAAAATATAGTCTGGCCCCCCACAAGGTCTGAGGGACAGTGGACTGGCCCCCTGCTGAAAAAGTTTGCTGACCCCTGTGCTATACCCTTTCCACTGCTTGCACATCAACACTTGTACCCAGAATCATTCACTTGCTGATCAACACCTTGGGTTGTCTGCAATGCTGTGCAAGCAAAGGGCAAATTGTACAACCCATCTTGCCCTTCCTGCCTCCCCTTCTGGACACAGAATTGTCCTGTGCAAAATGACTCCCAGGCTGTGCACTGTGAGAAGAACCTGAGCTTACAGGGTTAAACAGCTCAGACTGTACGCCCTGCCTACAGTTGGGAGGGGGGAGCTACGTCAGTTCCGAGAGACTAAAGTCTTTGTTCTGTCTCTCTACTTTCGCTTTTGAGGAGAGAGGACGTGTTTTCGCGATGCTGTTTGCTGTGATAGATAATGGATAGCCTGCTGTAAATAAAACTGCTTTTAGCTGCTAATATCCTGAGTGGACTTCATTTAAGCACACTGAAGAATGCACTGGAGTGTTTTGGTTTCCTCTAGCCGCTGACGAACTCTGCTATGCTCAGAAGTATCGGAATGTGCCCTTTGGAATGCAGAGGCCTACGCAATGGGGGAAGCGTGCCGGACGCTTATCTGAGCAATAAATCAAGATATCTCAGAGGTTATGGGGGCAGTAATTGCAATTAGAGGAAGCCTGCTTTGATGTGCTGTGTGCTTAAGAAGGCTGGAAAACTGAGACGCTGTTGTTTTGCTGCCGGAATGCAAAAGTCCTGCTTTGAGGCTTTGCCTGGGAGAAAAGCAGGCAAGCTGTGTGCTGCAAAGCTGGATGCAAGCTGTGTGCTGCAAGGAGCCACTGGAGGCCTCTCCTTTGAAGCTGGCTGGTACGCGTGAGTACTTCATCACCCCGATGGAAACACTGGGGGAGGAGATGGCTGAGCTCCAGGACTTTTATGATGTCCCGTTTGAAAAGCTCACAACCCAGTCCTGGGATATCTGGGTTAGAAGAGTCAGGGGGTGGTTTTTGGCCACAGGGTTCTGGGATATAGCCCAGAAGGAGCCCGCCCCACCCATGCCAGTTGCTGCTGAAGAAGGAGGAGCAGAATGGGAGGCTGCTCTCCTGGAAGATAGAGAGCTGAGAATGCAAAGGGAGCTCTGCATGTTGAGAGCAAGCGTGGACGCTATCCTGTTGCCCCACCTGGAGGGCATTGAGTCGGCTCAGGCCGCCTGGCAGGTGCTGAGGAGTCTGTGTGATAGCTCAGCAGGAGCCCAGGGCCTGGAGAAAGCCGAGAGCAGGCAGGAAGCTGAGAGCCCAGAGGGGCTGCTGGCCATGTTCCTAAAGTTACAGCTGGGAGTAGCTGCTTTGTCTCCGAGGGGCCGTGTGATGTTGAGGCCTACAACCAGAGTGCTGGGGAGCGTGCAGGCCCAGGCTGTGCACCCAAAGGTGGGGGTGCAGGGAACAAAGGAATGGCTGAAGAAGGAGCTGTGAGAGCTGTTGCTACGCGTCGCCGCTGTTATCGCTGTGGCTCCCCCTCCCATCTGGTGAGAGAATGTCCAGTGGAGGAACAGCCCAAGGCCGTCTCCCGTAGCAACCAGATAAAGAGCTCGTCTTCAAAGCGTGGGAAAGGCAAGCCGAAGGCAGCTGGCAGAGACACTGAACGTAAACATTTGGCTGCCTCTATGGCTGTAGTCAAAAGTTGTCAACAGGATGCAGAGCTGGCTTTTGTGATAGACAGTGGATCATCGCATCATCTCGTGCCATCTGGTGGATTCCTGGAGAACTGCACCTCTGTAAAATCTGGGAAGACTGTCTGTTTAGCAGATGGGACTCGACACCCACTCACGCAGAGTGGCTCACTGTTTTGTTCTTTCTTGCAGGACTCAATCCAGGCTTTTGTTGTTCCAGGACTGTCCTGCGCGTTGCTGTCTGTCAGTGCACTTCTTGCTGAGAACTACAGAGTGTGTTTTGAGAACAATAAGTGTTCTATTTCCAAGAATGGACAGCACCTAGTCAGTGTTCAATGTGAAGACAGGTTGTTTGTGATAAATGCTTCTTTTGCAGGTCCAGATGACACGGATGACACGGAGGAGGCTCAAGCGCAGTGTGCCAATGTTCCAGTTCATGATGCGTGTCAACATCTCTGGCACCGACGTATGGCACACGTGTCGTGGGGGTCGGTGAAAAGGATCCCAGAGTATACGCAAGGGTGCAAAATGAAACCATGTGCTAAGTTTCTAGATTGCAGAGCGTGCAAGTCCGCAAAGGTGAAAATGTGCACATACCCTAGGTCTGAGAGGGTGACCACTAGGGCTTTTCAATTAATTCATGCAGATTTGTGTGGTCCGTTTTCTGTGAGCAGTTTGGGCGGAGCCAAATTTTCGCTGGTTCTGATTGATGACCATACGAGGAATTCTTGGTGTTTTTTGCTTCAACGCAAAGATGAAGCTGCGCCGCTAATCAAAGACTGGATTGCGGCTGTGGAACTGCAGTTTTCCACACGGGTGCAAAACTTTCAGAGCGATCGCGGTGGGGAGTTCACCGGGTCTGCACTGCAAAGTTTCTTCCGCAAAAAGGGATTCAACACAGGTTGACTTCTCC